CATCATGCTTACCTTCGGGCAAATCTGGGTTTTCTATACTTTGATCCAGGTGTTTTGCAGTTAACCTTCACTTCCTAGTTGCCGTCATTAATCACTTGTAGCTCAAACGACAACTGTCGGCGTAGTCTAGGGATCTCTAGTAGTCTCCCTCAGAGCATCATCGACGGCATCCCCAGGTGGTTACACTACATACCAATAGCTATCAACACGAGTCCATGTGCCACAGTCTGTCGCAGAAGAGTCTGTTGTTCATTCGTCACACGTTGAGAACTTCACCATCACCATCTGTTCCATTTGATTTCATACGAACCCTTCTCTCTGTCCGGTCTCTTCTCTCACTCTTTCTCTGTCTTTTAAGCCGGTCGTATTCTTCGTCACACAACACCTATCAGAACACAGCGCTTCGATGATATTATAAGCCTCGCAGTTTTAAACATGCGACTTATTGTCGGACCCTGAGAGCTTGTCTCTGTTATTCTTTGCTCAGAAAAAATCTATGAAGCGTCAGCCATCTTCACAAAGTGGGCGTTTGGCTCATGTACGTTATTTTTTTCCGAAATACAGATGTGGTGGGATCTTTATCTCTCCTGTTGTCATATTGTCTCAGATCTCTTCGAATAGAGCACTTCTGTTCGCTCGTAGCAAGCCTGAGCCGGAACTTAAGGTTAATCTTCAATCATATCACGGTTTGGTGTCCTGGCCTAGGGGAGAAGTGAACGTTCCACGGCTTTTCGAGAGCTTCGCAATCTTTGAAGTCAAACTTCATCACTTCCAGAAACGCCCAAGTCAGTTACACCTATAAATGTTGTAAATGCTTCTAACCAGCGCTCTGGCAGTTTATGGATGTCGTCGCTCTGAAATGCAGGTTACTTGCATGCAAACTGCCAAACTGCTTGTCTGGCAGTGTCGTGTTGAAAGTTCACTTCATGAACAGAGTGAAAGTAGACTTCCTTCTCTACCGTCTATGAAGTTATCCACAATCTGAAGATGCGGCAAAGAGGCATCGATGTTAACGGCCTCGTAAACAGCTCCTCTGCAGCATCTCGTTCAAGTTTTCGATGACGTTTTTCGAATCGGAGCAAGGAACGAAATGGCAAGCTCAAGAGCTTCCACAAGCTTTTCTCACCATTCTATCAATAATATCTGTTCTTGTGTTGTCTGGACTGAGCTCTGGAAGTGAATCTTCGCTCAGACTTGTCTGAAGGCTCTTCATCGTCTTCGAATTCATTATTTATCATTGGTTCGATCGAGCAAAAAGCTACTTGTCTTTGATTAAACAATTCTGATGAGAGGCACCACGCATTCAATCTGTCTGCACATTGCCTAGTGGCTCGAAGGGTTGCCTGGCCTATACAACGATTTACGTGAATTGCCGACTAATGAGCTAGTGGTTTTTCTCCAGAGACTTGCCCGGAATCAACTGCCTACCAGGAGAGGGACGGGACGCTGTGGCCTGCGTAAGGTTTTGTAAGGGCGTCGCGCAGAGTGGAATATGGTGCTTCCATCGTTCTTCGCTGCAGTCCGCCAGGGTCAAGAATCCTCTATGAAGTTTAAGGAAAGAAGAAAATTCTTACCTTGCTCGGTAGCAGTAACTGGTGGTGAATGGAATCGGTATTGGGCATTTCAAATTGATGGAAATGGGCCTCTCAAGAGTTGAGGGAATGCTCAGGACAACTTTTTATGAATTTCACGTAAGTGCCGAGGAAAATTCTGTTTTCCAACTAAATACACCTGCCATTTTTTCCAACTATTGCCTGTCACCTGTCTTCTCCTCGATCATGCTCGAGCGGGCGCCAGCAACGTCTCCATTCGTCCCTGTCGCGTGCTAGAGTGGTCCAGTGGATCCTCCTCGCTCGAGGGACACGGGACCTTCATTCCTTTCGTTCAGAGCTTTCGTGAAGAAGTCTGACCAACTGTCATCACAGAATCGCATGACGTGTCGGCTCACCTTGCGATTCCTTGGCGAAAACGGCAGCGTCCCTGATCTTCGATCGTTGGCGTAGTTCGGAACTCCGGATTCCCCTCTGCACTTGCGTGTATAGGGTTACTCCTAGCATCGTCCTCTCGACAGCGCGTTGGATAACGCTGACCGCATGCTCGTCCTGCCTGCGCAGAGTCCAAGTCTCTGAGGCGTAGGTTAGGGCAGGAAGGACAGCGGAATCGAAGAGGTGGGCACGGAGCCGGATGTTCTTCGTCTTCTTCACTACTCTGTTTTTGCTGTTGCTATATCGCACCATTCCAATACTTTGCTCAAAGCAATGCTTGACACTGATGGCTTTTACTTATACCTCCTCATTGAACTAGAGGCTCACGATGCCTTTCATATTTACGCCCCTAAAGACAGAGCTGGCGAGTTTTGCTTCGAGAGTCAGTGGGCCTGAAAAGCGACACTTAGACGCTACGGCTTACTACCTCGAACGTCCCATAAACCTGGGCACGCCCACAATGGCGAGATCTCATCCGTTGCATATCGAGGCTATGCTCTCACACATTCTAGTATCTTTCCTCTCTCCTCGGTCCTTACTATCCCTTACCTCGCTGTCTGCCTCTTGCACCTCTCCGCAAAGCAAGGAGCCTCGACTTTCGGTATTTTTGGTAGCTTATTTTTTCTCAACTGGCGGTCCGCTTTGCATCTCTACTTTTGGCTAGTTTCGCATCCAAAGTGGAAACGTCACACCAGTTTGATCGCGTAGTGTGCCGTTTCCTCCTTGACGTTTCTTCGTTTCCTTTCCCTTTCAGTATGTCTTGTAGGTTGTGCTTGAACTTATGAACCTAAAGGTTACCCTTGTTGTTTTTCATGGAAAGGGAGCGAACAACTTTTTTGGACTCATCATGCACTTGATTTCCTTTCAAAAAGTTTCAAGTGTTCTAGTACTTAACAAGAATGCATAGGGGTTTGATCGAGGTATGAGTAGAAAACTCTGCTCATTCAAACGAACTTGCCTCCAGCTAGTTTTTATTTCTATTTTTTTGCGAACATCTGCGCCTGCAAGCTACGCGCTCACTGCCTCTGTGATTAATAGACTTTTTTCTTGTTGTTTTTTTCCGCCATCTCTGCTTCACTTTTCCTTTCCATTTTTTTTTTAGCTTTCACCCTTAGCTTAGCCTTTTGCTCGCTGCACTCCAGGGTGAACCAGTTTTCTTTCTAGCTGTGCATCTTCGTGTACTTTCTGCATAAATCAACAAATTTAGATACTTGGATATATCGATTATGAAAGTTTTAATTCTCTTTGTTTATCATTATGCTTCTTCTTTACTTTAACTATGGTACGGTTCCTTATGTTCGGTGTTCTGTTGCGATAAGTGAGTTAATTTTTCTCACATTGAGCTGCGATTTTTCATGCGAAATGGTGCGAATTCACTGTCGGTCGAAGCACAGGAAGGTATGGGATCGTTGCTGGTGTAGAATAGTTTATTTTAATTTCTCAGTGCCTGCTTTGCCACATGGTGAATAGGGAGCCTAAGCTAAATATTACAAGTATATCGCAAGTGCATTACACAGTGCACACCCACAGGTCTCTAGGACAACGCAGTACGGCGCGAATGACATGAGGACTAATAGGGATACTAGAAATATTTTAAAACAATATCCTCAAAGTCCGGCCTATCGATATCAGCCAACATGACATAATTTGAATTAATTGTACCTTTCTGATTTTTTATACTCCCAATATTCGTATGGTGATTTTCGCCGAGAGATTAGAAAACAACTCCTGTCAATTCTGCGCAGCCTGTAAGCATGGAAGGTTTAATGACGGGAAGGTTCCCAGCCTAAATATTTCTGACACTGAAATTTATTTCAAAGGGACTTTCCAAATAGTCAACAAAATAAAAATTCCAAAAATTTCAGAAGGTCCAAAAAGAAGAAGCGCATTGAAAATGACGCTATGAATCAAATCGCTTCTTGCTTTTTTGGAAACTTTTGAATTTTTGGAATTTTTGAATTTTGTGTTCTTTTGGAATTCTTTTGGAATAAAATTTTGGTGCCTCTCTGTGTTATAAAATATTTAGGTGTGAGGCTCCGGAACAAGACAATATTAAGTGACCGGAGAGTGTTGTTCTGGTGGTAGCCAAAAATGCACAGAAGGGAGCGCTATCAGAAGGATTCCTGTCGAAGACTATGTCCCCCATATAATACGATATTGAAACTTCACCAGTATATGGAGGGTTACTTGCTCCTAGCATCCATTGTTTGAAATCCCAGCGCAAATAGGGCAAGCAATTGGCCAGGTTGAGTACATTTCTCATTTTTTTTTAAGCTTATTATGATACTAATATCATGTATAGCAATGGTGTATTGCACAGTGGCACGCTTAGCACGCGCTCCGGCTCGAGGATACTAATCTGGGTCTTGCGCGTTTGTGCGGGCCAATAAGCTGTCACTTCTCTGGTCGTTAGTTAGCTAATAGACTTTCTTGGGTGGATATATGCTGAATGTACTAGTGGGCAGACGCAATCATTGTTATGGCACATCGCATTTAAGCACTACGAATTGTACCAAATCAACTAGATATTGCGTGTCGCATCCACAAAAGGGAATGATCAACAGCAAAATGCTTTGTCCTTTATCCTTTACGCTACATAAAGTAGACGTGAGAAAACAAAACAACAGCGTGACTCAACAATTTCTTCATTTGCAAGGTGTTTAAAGTGCATAAAGCAGGACAGAGTAGTGCTACTTTTGATTTAATAGAGATACAAATTGAGCCTGCTCTACAGGTAAAACTGTGGAAGTATTCGTAGTAGTTACCAGTGGGAAGAGATTTGAGCGAATGTCTCCTTTGTATATGTTAACAGACCTCTTCGACGTTCTTTTACACTGGGGAAAATACAACTCTATGGGTCTGCTTTTTTTTCGGAAAATCCCTAGAAGGTTAGCTAACTGAAGATATGATAGATCTTTTCAGACACGACATTTTGGGTGAACGGACATTATTTGGCAGAAATTTCCACATTTTTTGACGTTGGCCTTCTTCGGGGAGTTTGCTGAAGCCCGAGAAATGTTAATCAAATTGGAGGGTGAGACGGCGTCAGATGTTGGCGTCTTCCTCGAAATCGTGCATCCAGGCGGAAAGAAGGAAGTGACAGGTACGTATTCATTCTGTCACTAGGCCTCAATCTCATTATCATCTGAAAAGAAAGGTGTGCCAGTGGTTCATAATGCCATATTTATGAAGTGCTTTGTAATTCAACACTCGTCGTTATCGATGAAATAGATTGGGGTGGGGAGCGAGGAAAAATCGTACGTTACTCACCTTCTCTAGCGCAGCATCAGCGACAATGCGAGCCACGAATAAGAGTTTTGGTAATTCTATTTGAATTAAATTAAACTTAATTAATGACCGATTGAATTAGCATCCAATACTCCGTATATTTTCCTTTACCTAGATGGAGGGGGGAGAGGGGAAGGCGGATGATTGAGAGTAGGACTGCAGAGTGAGTGGCACAAACGCTACGTTTATGAGACTTGAGGACCAGCACGCGGTCTTGTCAAGAATTTATTACGAATCAGGGTTTTTGTTTTTACCTTTTAACCTGTTACTTTCCCTTACGGTCCATGAAAGGCAGAGCACACGAATGGCTTTCCTCAATTTCGGGCGCCACCGCGTTGTCCATATCGCAAGCAATTTTTGACTTAATCGCTCTTTTTTCATATGGCTTCCTGTTGGGAATTGGAACTTTTAAATGTAGAGAATTTATTTCAAAGTGGTGTTCCAAAAAGCCAGTAATATATGGCCGTATTTCCAAATGTAATGTAAAAATTTACCTTCCAAAGATTGCTTTGAAATCCGCAGCCGACATCCATTCATCGGTCGATCACAATGCGGTTCCTAGTATACATGAAAGCTTTAATACACAGATGGTGCTAGTCATGTATAAGGACAATCAGAAAGCGATCGAGTTTTTCGGGTCAGTATTCAGTTAGGGGGGGCATCATGATGCAGTTTTTCGGCGAGCTAATGTAAACTCGAACATTCCAGCTTCTCACGCATGTCAAGTGACTGCCCTCACCCCCCCCCCCTAGGCTGGCTACACTCCCCCTGGCTCAGAGTTACCGTAGCTTTTTGGGAGTCACCGCACCATGATGCCCCCCTAACTGGAATAGACCCCGTTTTCCCTCGTGAAATGACTGGTAAAATAAATGCCTCAAAGGAGAAATCGTGATTTATGGCCGAAAGAACTAGACATATTGAATGTTAAAATGTACAACGATATCCCACCGCGAATCTGACTTTAACCGTAAGAGAATTTGATGGTATAGCGCATCCCAAAAAAGGACTGATCACCACTGACGGGGAAGGTCTTTCAGGAAATGCCCAGCTTTCTCGCAAACGGTTTTTTCGTGATGTAGGGGTTACGTGCCAAGAACACAGTACTATAGTTCATTTTTTCTGAGCGGCACTCTCGTAAACCACTGAGGATAGGGTCAACATGTGTCCATAGTTCGAATCTTGTAGATTGCAATTTTTTGACATTTAGTGTTGGGTGGTTCAAAAATTCATGACGAAAATAGCGTTAGCGTGAACAGCCCACGTCATATCTATAATTAAGGGCATGCCCCAGGATCACATTGGTGTGGCTCTTGTACACGAATGCAAATGTATTGGTAGAAAGTGGGCCGGCAGTAAAGAAGAAAAAGAAAAGTATCCATCAAAAACGCTAGGATTAAGGCTCACTCCCCTTTCCTAGTCGCGTAATAAGGATGAATGAGGACTAAGCGATGGAGATGAGCAGATGAGGCTGAGAGACGACCTCAGATGGAGAAGTCACCAGACAACACCTGTAAAGAAAGTTCTAACAGTATGGGCAGCCTACTTTGCAAGGCCACGGCGTTTTATCGAATGGTTTTCCGTGCATCGGAAGCCAAATTTATGACTGTTTCTGAGTGCTCTTAGTACTGGCAGGGCTATCAGCAACCCTTAGCAACGTAGGCTTTGGCTGAAAAACTGTGAAGAAACTTAAGAACGGCTGCTCCTTAAGAATTTTTTCTTCGCTTTTTTTGGTATTCAGGAGGGTCGCTCAGGAAAAATGAATACAGTTCTGTGTTCCACATACATACCTCTATCTCGAGCAAGAAAGCGTCTTGAGCAAGCTGGGCATTTCCCGGAAGACCTCCCTGGTGAGGGCCAACATCGGCAAGATTGAGAATTTTCAGTAAAATCGAATAGACATCATTTATTCACTTATTAGGCTTCGCAATTGTTGATTTCTTTATGTTTTAGCTGTTGTTATGTGCAAAGTTTGGGCAGAATGTTTGATTAATTACCGCTTTTTAGAGAAGAGCTGCGGCACAATGATGCGCTACTCGGACATATGGGATATTCCAATGCTGCGGCAGAAATGCCACGAATTCTTATGTGAGTATGAGTGTCTCTTACTCAGTTCAGACTTGAAGCCATGGATGTTTCTCCCTCCATATTCATCCCACTGCTCATGGGTTAGAGCCGTGGTAGTGCGATAGGCTGGAAAGCAGTACTAAAGCGCTGGCGCTATTCTCAGTTCCTGGCACCATGAAGGCTACCTTGATGTTTCATCTTTCATTTATGCTTTGGATTGGGCCAGTGATTTTGGCGGAGCTATAGATCGCTCCGATGAAGTGTTGACACCCTTATGTAGCTCTACTGGTAAATTGCTTTTCTTGGATAGCGATCATATCTTGCTTTTATATACATTGGATTTTTAATGACTGCCCGGCGCACTCACAGACACTCAAAATCATCGAGTCAATTGTTCGTGCCCTACTCCGACACAATCAATAGATTGCTATCATCAAAATCCACGCTAGAAATCTGTCCTTCCAAATGGGACATTACCATACCTGAAGCGATTCGACATCACCGATCTCTCACTTGCTCAACTCTATCCAGCTCGTCCATTCGCTATATTCTAGCGCATGCCAAAATATTTTTAATTTCAGTGTTCCGTTTTCCACGACTCCGCCCCACATTTGAAACAACATTTTCGCTGTTGGAAACCGCTTACACACATGGATTCGAACGTAGTTCAGAGCAATTGATCTCACGTCTGGCCGGTTTCGGTCAAGTTTTCCTCGATCAACAGGGAATGCTGCACAAAGTGAGCAGTCCAGTTGTACGTTTCTCTATTGATATCTGTCCATGAAATCCTTTTTAAATATTAAAACCAAAACATTGGCGCCAAAAACGGAAGACCTGTTGTTGCTGAGACAGTCATCTGCCTTGGTCGCGAGGGGGCTTCCGTCACGCAGAAAATATACAGTAGTGGCCAGAAATTTATGAACAAACGGTTTTTTCATGATTTCTCTTTTGAAAGTCACTGGAACGTCTCCAAATTTGCAACAATTATTAACTACGTGTTTTATGATCCACACAGAAAATTTCAACCTTCAGCTCAAATTTGGGTTTAGAAAATTTTAGATTTTTCGAAATTAATGAAGGCAGGTGAAAGATCACTTGATCCGTTTATTTGATTTAAATAATGTATAACCCAACAGAACAGTCAAGTAAACAGTCACTAACATTAAGCAAGTCTAGCACATTGCCCAGAACTCTCTAAAGTATTGGATACATAAACTGGATTTGAATGCGGGGTCAATTAGTGAACTCACTCTTCTCTGTAGTCCCGTCTTTTCGTGGCTCTTTCATTGACATACGAATTTGTAGGTCCTCCCCTAGTGGTTCTGTAATGTTTGGCTCAAGAGTCTGGCCTGGCTGGTCTTTTAAAAGCACCCCATGCTGTCGAAACCACTCCTGCATGTGAGAGGCCCGATGCTTTGAGTCGCTGCTCTGCCGACAGGCAAAGTCAGGTCGGGCGGCAGCCAAGCCTACGGATACATGACACCTTCCAAAACATGACAGCAAACGTCTGCCTTCATCGCTACCTCAGTCGTGTAGCGTGGTCCCACTTTTTCCAAGGCAACCTTATCAAGCCTCCGCCAAGTTTCACAATTGGCAGCTGATTCTTTGGATCAAAACGTTCCCTCTCGTGGTGCCGTACATTACTAGTATCCTTGCTGTCATGCATCAGTAATATGTTTTTGTCATTCCAGATGACCTTAGAAACCTGTGTCAACCTTCTTTTCAGACTTAGTCAATCACATTCTACTCCCACCCACTTCACAGCGAGCGCTCTTCTTAGATTTTGAGAACTAAGGAATACTGCCATAGACTCATAGATTCTAGAAGCTCTTATAGTATCGTGGACGATGGCTGTCACATGACATGCTTCTCAGTCTGCAGCAACCTACTGACTCAAAGCATCGGGCCTCTCACATGCAGGAGTGGTTTCGACAGCATGGGGTGCTTTTAAAAGACCAGCCAGGCCAGACTCTTGAGCCAAACATTACAGAACCACTAGGGGAGGACCTACAAATTCGTATGTCAATGAAAGAGCCACGAAAAGACGGGACTACAGAGAGAGACCCCACTAAAGAGTGAGTTCATTAGTTGACCCCGCATTCAAATCCAGTTTATGTATCCAATACTTTAGAGAGTTCTGGGCAATGTGCTAGACTTGCTTAATGTTAGTGACTGTTTACTTGACTGTTCTGTTGGGTTATACATTATTTAAATCAAATAAACGGATCAAGTGATCTTTCACCTGCCTTCATTAATTTCGAAAAATCTAAAATTTTCTAAACCCAAATTTGAGCTGAAGGTTGAAATTTTCTGTGTGGATCATAAAACACGTAGTTAATAATTGTTGCAAATTTGGAGACGTTCCAGTGACTTTCAAAGAGAAAAATGAAAAAACCGTTTGTTCATAAATTTCTGGCCACTACTGTACCTTCCCAGAAAGAAACTATGAAAATAAGAAATGATGCACAGTTTTCCCCAATATTCCGAAAATCAACAGGCCTCTTTTCCCAAATTTCCCAGTAGCTCTTGGTACGTCTATGTATTCACATTGTTACGCTTCACCGAACTCACATGGAATGACTGCCTCTGCGTTTTCATAGGGAATTTTCGGCGCAGATACTGGGGCATCCTCTAGGACTAATTGGAAGCTTAGAGAGCGGCAGGAACATCGATGAAAATGAAAGCTGCTCATGCACCTTGGGGTCTCTTCTCCCTCGCCTAAGGCTTAATCCCGTTTTTAACAAAAAAGAGATGTCTCATGAGATTTTAAATGCAACTTGCACGCACAAATTCCCCCCCCCCCCGTTGTAGGATAGCAGAAGCGAATTATCATTTAATCATAGGGAGCTAAAGACCAAGGTTCTAATTCCCTCTCGCTCTGTAACTTATGCAAATGCGTGTAGATATGTATGTCAACTAATGGAGTAAGAAAACAAATGAAATCTATTTCATAATTTTTTTGTTTGTTTTGCAGATCTCAGACTCTCGTACTGTGGCCGCGCTATTTTCAGCTGCTCCCAAGGAGAGGATTGTTGTGAAGAAATTTGCGCACAGTTTGTCATCTATCGCGAACAAGTAAGTTATCTTTGAGAGTTTTACTTAAAAAATTGATCGCATGAAGTAGGAAGCGCACCGGGGAGTATGTGTGCCTTAACAGAGGCCCCAGCAAACGAACAGGTAAGGTTCGTGCAAATGGTTAGCTGTAGCGCATTAGATTTCCACCTGTAAAATCATCACAATGCCTCAATAGACTGCTCGCACCCACCAGTGGCTTGCAGACAGGGTCGTCCTATTCTTGCTATTCCGAAAAGTTTTTACACCCCTCCTTTCAGAAGCTTCCACGCGTCCCCCCCTCACCTTACCGACAAATTTTTTTAACCAAAAATTATAGTGCGTGAACACAAATTGTTCTCGTCGCCCGCTCCGCTCAAAAACATGGCCACCTTCTTAGCAACCTAAGCCAGTACGACCCGCCCCTAAACTCACCATACAATAGTACCCCCCCCCTTTTTGCTACTTGTAGCACATAGGGATTGACCCTGATTGGGCAGTCATTCGTTTTCTCATTTGTATCACTCTGACGCCGTGGTGTTTTAGTTGTGTAGGTGATGAGGTATCTAAATCAAAAACATGATGTTAGTAGACGTTAATAGTGGACACGAGAGATGCGATTGGACTTGCTGGGCCGTGTTTTCGACTTAAACACATCCTTGAGTACGTCGTTGCGATCGTTGCGGGAAAGCAGTTAACAGAAAACAATTCTCTAAATGTTTACAAGGAGCTGTTGTCAAAACCATTCGCCCAGACGGATTCGAACGCGCACGCCTCGGCTTATCCGGGACAGTGCGCTCATTACTACCTGAGCACCATTTCATTCCAATGTGAAATTGTTGAAGCAATTGTGAAACATTTGACTGTGCTAAAACCACAGGTTAACAATAAACAAAAATAAACAAACAAAAACAAGTCCATCAACTTTCTCGTTTTCTAAAGGTATTCGAATAAGCTTTTCGCCTGAATTCATTACGCGTTATGACTTCCGATGTGTTCCTTCCATTTGGTGAGATGAAACACGTGGTGCTTGCTATCCAGAGCAGGTTTTTGCACTGGAGTCTACCTTAGTCACACTACGTTGAAAGATACTTCAGCACTGATGTCAACCCTAACCTTACCGCTCGGTTTCCCTTCTCCTCCAACCAACCCCCTACCTCACAGTGCCCCGTGCTCTCTTTGAAAATTGGAAAACCTATCAAAATCGACTAATCAACTCTACTGGAAATCACATTCAACTCTACTGGAAATCACATTCCCATTAGAACAGAAGGCCAGGTTGAGCGTAGGGGCTACACGTGCACTCATCGAGTGCATCAAATTAAGGAAGGAACAAACTGGACAAAAACTATTCCATAAAAAAACATGTAATGGAGGACACAGAGATTCTGAGGCACATGTTGGGCACTTTCTTCCTGCAAATCGACCAGCATAACAAACTTATATGAAGAGTATATCACTCTGAGCAAGTAAAGAAACTTGAGCGCACGGTTCATTCCAAGACAAAGTTCTTTTATAACTTAAAAGGCCGTGATCACGATGGCCGGAGAGCGGTGCGGTTTGGATGAAGTCCTTGAACGCCATTGGTGAAAAGGCGTTAAGAGACGGTTCCAACCACATCCCCAGTGCGAGGGGGCTGTACACCAGTGACATTCAATGGTGTAATAACAACCAATCACAGTCCTGTGATATAACACTGCCTTTGAAGACCTCCTCATAGGTCTTGGCAAGCTAATGACGAGTTCACATGAGTCTTCAATTTTCAAAAGCCTCAGTTCAATCCCAACGACAAAGAAGCGCGAAATAGCGCTATTACCAGAAGCTTTCGAAGTTCTATGGCAAGTATGGAAAGTGCAAGTTGTTACTGCCACCGAAGATGCGTGAGGCAGAAATGTAGTAAAGATTCAGAAAGATTTGAGATAGCGAATAACAATCCAAAAATCTCCGTAGGAAATCTTCAGAAAAAAGTATGCATCAGATGGGGAGGTGCTCAACGGCTATTCTGCCGAGGTTTCTATCCCTTTTTAGAGCAAGATGATAGCTTGATTTCCTTCCCTTTGAAGGCCAATTGAAGGAGGACAGGCTTCGACAATTAAGCGCTGCATTTTGCGGAACAAGTTATATGTTTGACATAGATGAGTAGTCCAAGAATGGTCAACTGGATCAAACAAGACATCCGGTTGACTGTTTTTGGGCTGCACATTCAAAACACCACGACGTCGAAAGCGTGGCGTGTACCAAGCAAACTGTTCAGCCAACAGCTCATTGAGGTCAACTAAGTTGAGCTATTCGCCCAATTGTCACTTCAAATGAATATAGATTTGATAAACAAGAAGCGAAACCCGTTGCTTTTCAGAGCCACCCGAGAATGCGTGATCCTGCAGTGCACGAATCGTCCCAGTCATGTCTTCGATTTGTAAGTTGTATTTCTGTGCACCACATCAGGACGTGATTCCGTGCACAAAAGACGCACAATTCCCGAATTTCATCAAAATCGTGCCGTTCAATATCGGCCGGACTTCGAGCCGACACCGAACTGCTGTATGTGATGAAGACCGAGAAGAAAACGTGATATAATGAAAATGATGTGATGACAATTGTGATGTGTTACTTTTGACGAATAAATATTGTGTTTGTTTAAACACAGTGCGTTTGTTTCGTGATCTTATGGTCGATTTAAAGGAATCCTTCACGGAAAAATCATGATTCTTTCAGCCATAAATCACTGGCTTGAGACTCATTATCCACGATAAGAATGAAAGAACAGAAATATTGCTTTGTTTTGGTAAAAAATTCGAAAAATCGAAAGGGCTGCTACGCGTTCAAAGTGCACGAACGTTCTTCACAAATGCTGGATGCTTCCACTTGGTTCTTGGAGTGCCTTCACTAGAAACTCTTTCTGGCCTTCTGCTTTATTGCATTCACATCTCACATCCTATTCCATCGATCGATTTGTCTCCACTCTCCGAAATCGCGCGCTTTAACCCGATTCTCTCATTGCGTCGCCTGGTACGTAGCCGGCCAAACGCCGTCTTCTTTCCATGCCTCGCCTGGCTCTGCCTCCTGGTCCTTCGATGGTCCATAACGTGTAGTTTTTGTACGTTTGTTTCTCTTCAGAAACCGAATCTTCATGCGTGAAACTTTGTGTGCTATTTCCAGTGATCACAATGACATAACTGACATATTCATGTTAGGAAAGAGTGCTAAAGAAAGTTATAACGTGCGGTCCGCAATGGTTACCATTGCGGCGCGTTATAACGCACGCTCCGTAGGTTTTTTTGTCATCTCTTTTATCGTGGCAATAATATATCGAAAATTTATATCGGAATTACGCAAGTAATTGAATATCTGGTTTTGTTGGGTTGAAAAAACAAAGCAAAACACACCCGGCCTTTGATTTTGTAACTTAGCAAAATGTTGAAAAAATCGAAGATTACTATACTTCTCCGCAAGGTGGCGTGCTGCACATGGTGCAGCACGCGGTCCGCAATGGGTTAGCCGACTTTCTTTTCGATTGCGTCGCCTGATACGTAGCCGGCCAAAGGCCAACTTCTTTCCATGCCTCGCCTTTGGCTCCGCCCGAATTACCTTCGATTGTCCATAGAGTGTAGTTTTTGTACGTTTGTTTCTCTTCGGAAACCGAATCTTCATGCGTGAAACTTTGTGTGCTGTTTCCAGTGATCACAACTGACATTCATGTCAAGAAAGAATGCAAGAATTTTCCGCGAAGGATTCCTTCAAAGATCTTCTCGAAAAATCATAGCAATTCTTCACAGCATGAGTGATGAATAATGTAAGTTGTGATTCACAGAAAAAAATTCATAAGTTTCACGTAACGAAGATTAAGTTTCGTAGTAAACAAACGTAGCATTTGTGACAGATGTGAAAAATGGCAATGTGGGCGTCGTACAGCTCTCGTTTTTTCCGAATTAGTATACGCAAAACAAGCGGAACCGTCACACGTAACGAAAGATTAGGCATTGAATTTAGGATTTTGCCTTGTAGCAGTGGAGCGTTCGTGTATGCTTCGACAACGGTGCGCAGGGTGTATTGAAGAATTTTGGCCCAGGTTCCGTTTAGTGAATCGTTCAGTATTTCATTTGTGGTGCGTCATGAAGAGCAATTTTCACTCTTTAACAAAAAATGTGCATACATAATTCAAAGAACCATACATACGTATTTCAAAGAACCATTAGGTTTGGAAAGAAAGTTCTGCAATACTTCCATTTCCAATTTCAATTTTTTTGTTTACAACTCCTGACCGGTCATATATCTACCATGAGTGTCCACCACTTGTCTTCAACGCTCAGAAAATTTCTGATGCTCCTTTTCCAAAACCCAGCGGAGTGCGGGTCAAGAAAGGAGGCGACCTCACTTCGAAGTTGGAGTTGATCGTCTAATTATTTCGTCATCAAGATGATGAATGAGGGTCCAGAATAGGGATGATAACCATTCAAGGCTTCAGCAGGCAATACGCCAGGTGAGGTAAGAAGTCTTGAGGCAGTTCTGCTGCGTTAACCTCTAGCTCCACAAGTGCCCATATCGAGGAATTGTAGTTGAGGTTCCATCACAGCCCTACCTGTAATGAACAGTGGGAGGTGCTGGCCTCTTATACACATAAATATCAAAAGCTTCGCCCAAAAGCACTGGTAACAGGTGAAGATACGCTGTAGCGGTGAACGTCAACGACATTCCGGCGAAGCTATTGCAGATAGTGTTGGTCGTTGACACGAATCCACAGTTATGGAGACATTTGTACTAGACAGTGACTCGGAGTACGGATTAACTAGTGGCGGTTTTTTCTTAGTAGAATATAAAACGTCATCAGCGACACCAACGACATCTCAGTGAAGGGTAGACTTTCTGTGCCGAACAGGTTTTTATATTGTTTTCTGAGCCGAGGTTCGGCTAGATCGTCGTCTTCACTCCACAAGCACCCCAAAGCCTGCCCCACGCCGAAATATAGGTAATTTCAGGCTCTAGGGTGCTGGTGGAGTTGAGGTCTTTGAAGACGACGATCTAGTCGGAACGTCAGCTCAAAAAAGCTTTAGTATAAAAGGAAC